GAGTCATTGCTGTAAACAACCGATGCTCGAAAGGCGGGATCCAAGAGTCAATGCTCGATCCTGCAAGCACATATAGGTGAGTACACACACACACACACACACACACACACACACACACACACACACACACACACACACACACACACACACACACACACACACACACACACACACACACACACACACACACACACACACACACACAGGAGGACAGCTTGAGGCTTCAAGAAGACCTGGACAAGCTGCAGGAATGGTGGAACAAATGGCTGTTAGAGTTTAACACAAGCAAATGTAATGTAATGAAGATAGGGGTAGGAAGCAGGAGACCAGATACAAGGTATCATTTGTGAGACGAAATACTTCAAGAGTCAGAGAGAGAGAAAGACCTGGGGGTTGATATCACGCCAGACCTGTCCCCTGAAGCTCATATCAAGAGGATAACATCAGCGGCATATGCCAGGTTGGCTAACATAAGAACGGCCTTTAGAAACTTGTGTAAGGAATCTTTCAGAACATTATATACCACGTATGTCAGACCAATCCTGGAGCATGCGGCACCAGCATGGAGTCCATATCTAGTCAAGCATAAGACTAAACTGGAAAAGGTTCAAAGGTTTGCCACCAGACTAGTACCCGAGCTGAGAGGTATGAGCTACGAAGAGAGACTACGGGAATTAAACCTCACTTCGTTGGAAGACAGAAGAGTTAGGGGGGGACATGATTACCACATTCAAGATTCTCAAGGGAATTGATAGGGTAGATAAAGACAGTCTATTTAACACAAGGGGCACACGCACAAGGGGACACAGGTGGAAACTGAGTGCCCAAATGAACCACAGAGATATTGGAACTTTTTTAGTGTCAGAGTGGTTGACAAATGGAATGCATTAGGCAGTGATGTGGTGGAGGCTGACTCCATACACAGTTTCAAGTATAGATATGATAGAGCCCAATAGGCTCAGAAACCTGGATAGCACGCAGGACTCATAATTCTGTGGCGCGGGTTCGATTCCCGCACGAGGCAGAAACAAATGGGCAAAGTTTCTTTCACCCTAAGTGCCCCTGTTACCTAGCAGTAAATAGGTACCTGGGAGTTAGTCAGCTGTCACGGGCTGCTTCCTGGGGTGTGTGCGTGGTGTGGGAAAAAAAAAATAGTAGATAGTAAACAGTTGATTGACAGTTGAGAGGCGGGACCAAAGAGTCAAAGCTCAACCCCCGCAAGCACAATTAGGTGAGTACACACCGAAAAGTTTTAGTATGTGTCCCTGAGGTGGTGACAGGAAGCCGGCGGCTTGCTAAATGCCCGCCGTTATTCGTGAAGATATTTACAATCAGGATTTAACTCGCCACAGCTGAAAGTAATGACGTTCACGTCTTCAACATTCTTTTTCTTTTTAACGTTATTCATTTCTTTCCGTATATTCCCATAGCGGGAAGTATTCACTGCTAGTGTATTTACACAAGGTACACGGGATTAATACAACGCTCGGAGTATACATGCATAAATAAACCGCTCGGTGTATACATTTATACATGAGGCAACACCAGTGTTGCCAGATATGCGTCTCTTAAAGTGTTAATCTTCTCCCTTGTCAACATTTATTAACTTTGAATCCTAATAAATGGGATACTTGGAGAAGTAATAAACCATACATGTTATTCAGTCTGTGTTTTATTATTAATCTGACTGAAATGCTGTTTAAATCTTTTAAAAATAACTAATTCATCTTAATATTTTAATTTGTTATTGTTATCGTACATTGACATACGCCTGAACCTCCGTTTTCTATGGTTCAATGACCATAATGCTGGAGTGACTACGATAATAATATTAATTATACTCCATTGTCGGAGAAATAAGGAAGCCAAGCCTGGACAAATGTTGTCTATCCGATCTTGGGACCTTGCTCTATCAAATTCAATGTCAAAATCTATATTTTGCTTAGGGAGAGTGCAGGAGAGCAAAGTAACTTTGAAAAGAGGTGGTTCCCCATGTATTTTTACACTCTATTTTCGGCCGCAGACATGGCTATGTTTTTATTTATATATATACAAGAGTTGGTACACTCTTGTACAGCCACCAGCGCGCATAGCGTTTCGCGCAAGTCTTTAAATCTGTATATTCCCTGGAATACGACCTGCCAAATCGTTTAACAACCAGGTACCCATTCACTGCTGGGTGAACAGAGGCTAGAGTTAAAGATTGGCGCCCAGTCAGTCCTCCCCTGCCAGGATACGAACCCAGGCCATATCACTCGCAAAGCGCCGGACGAGTGTGTTACCACTTCGCCGCCACGGGGACTATACTAGGCATACTAGGACGAATTGTGTGATAAGGAAAGAGGGGGGGGGTCTCCTACCCCTTTTTCCCGCCTTTTCCTCCCTCTTTCTCACTCTTCCCCCTTGATCCCCTCATTCCCTTCTCCTGTTTCCCCTTTGTTACACCGCTAATCTTCCCCTTCTTCCTCACCTTCTTGTTCCGACTCTCAAAATATATTATTATAATAACTAAAAACTCTATGGAAATCACACCAAATATTTCACACTTGATGCCTTGAAAATCGCATGGGGGGTGCCTACAAATGCTAACAATTCCTAAAGCATTTAACTTAGTGTAGCCCCGACCCGTCAAGCCTATGTCCGTCTCGCACCCCAGAACATGTCATCTGCAAAGTTGATTGTGGCAACTATCTCTCTCTCTCTCTCTCTCTCTCTCTCTCTCTCTCTCTCTCTCTCTCTCTCTCTCTCTCTCTCTCTCTCTCTCTCTCTCTCTCTCTCTCTCTCTGCCTGCTTGACGGCTCAATATATTGTTTCATTCATTCTAATAATACTCTTTCCGCAGGTTCGTTCCTGCTTTCCTCTCTACCTCCTACTGTCTCTTGAGACAACTTAGAAGAAATATAACAGAAATGACAACCGCTGACACCAATGGAGAGAGAGAGAGAAAGAGAGAGAGAGAGAAAGAGAGAGAGAGAGAAAGAGAGAGAGAGAGCTGAGGGAGAGGGGGAGAGAGAGAGAGAGAGAGAGAGACAGAGAGAGAGAGAGAGAGAAAGAGAGAGATAGAGCTGAGGGAGAGGGGGAGAGGGAGAGGGAGAGGGGGGGGTGTAGCCTGGCCCAAGCTACTATAATGGGAAACTTCAACATTGGTGCCAACTCTTGAAGTTTATCCCAAGATATTGAAATTTTCTGTTTTTTCGTGGGATCTTGGGACCTTGGGATCTTGGGACCTTGGGACCTTGGGACCTTGGGAATTTGAGCTCTGGCTCTTTGGTCCCGCCTCTCATCTGTCAATGTACTTGTGTACAGGTTTCTGAGATTCTCGAGTTCTATCATATATTAAACTGTGTATGGAGTCAGCCTCCACCACATCACTGCCTAATGCATTCCACCTTGTTAACTACTCTGACACTGAAGAAGTTCTTTCTAACGTCTCTGTGGCTCATGTGGGTACTCAGTCTCCACCTGTGTGTGTGTGTGTGTGTGTGTGTGTGTGTGTGTGTGTGTGTGTGTGTGTGGTGTGTGTGTGTGTGTGTGTGTGTGTGTGTGTGTGCTAAAGAGAAATAAATGTAGTAGAAGTAAAAATAAATGGGTTAGAAAGGCGGGGTCCGAGAGCTAATAGCTCGATTCTGCAGATACAAATAGTAAATACAAATATACAAGAAGGCGTACAAACCGCTCCAAGATATAGACAGTTTGGAGTCTAGGGAAATCTAGGGATTTCTTGGAGGCCTCGAGGGGGGGGGGGTTTCGTCAATATTACAGGTGGCAACACTGCCGTCCCCTCAGTGTGCCTCTGGCCGTCGGTGGGTGAGGGTGTGTGTTAGTGCTCATCGACGCTCGGCTCCATTTAATATTTTTCCCCCTATATTGGAGGACAGGAATTCAGTCTGTTGCAAATGCTCGAGGTGTCCGCTAGCTGGCAACTGGCCTCTCCAGAGGGATGCAACCCACAATAGTTGCCTAACTCCCGAGCACACAGCGTTTCCTGCTAGGAAACACGCCCAAACGCTTCCGTCCTCGAGTGGGATTCGGACCCAGAACCTTGGGGGTAAGTCTCCCATGTAGAAAAAACCAATCCTGTTGACCAACAATCCCAGAATAGCCACAAATCACAGGAATTATCGTCATATATACACAGCCTCGGGTCACTGGGGACAATATAGGGATATATTCCATTCTGACCGACATTATATTTCTGTCCACGTGTTATAATTACCATAAATATGTGCATTGTTAATGGCTAAAGCGCTTGGGCATAGCCAGTCCGTGGAGTCTGGGTTAAAGGTTTGTTACAGTGTTTATACATCATTGGATAAGAGATATACATATGTATATATATGTGTATACTTCGGGTGTTTTAGTATACATGCGAGGTGTATCACTTGCTGCGAGTCTAGGGTGTGTATGCTTGTGTTTGTGTGCCTGAATTTACCTGATTTTTAACACTGGGGTTAGCTAAGGCTTTTAGGGTGGCGGGGAGTTGAGTCTCAGCTCTTGGGTCCAGTTTATCGACTGGATTCTGGTTCGTATATTATGTCTGTCTCTGAATCACTGTGTTGAGTCTGCCTCCACCACTCCACACCCTTGTGTGTGTGTACTCACCTAGTTGTGCTTGCGGGGGTTGAGCTCTGGCTCTTTGGTCCCGGCTCTCAACTGTCAATCAACTGGTGTACAGATTCCTGAGCCTATTGGGCTCTATCATATCTACATTTGAAACTGTGTATGGAGTCAGCCTCCACCACATCACTGCCTAATGCATTCCATTTGTCAACCACTCTGACACTAAAAAAATTCTTTCTAACGTCCCTGTGGCTCATTTGGGCACTCAGTTTCCACCTGTGTCCCCTAGTGCGTGTGCCCCTTGTGGTAAAAATTCTGTCTTTATCTACCCTATCAATTCCTCTGAGAATCTTGTATGTGGTGATCATGTCCCCCCTAACTCTTCTGTCTCCCAGTGACGTGAGGTTTAATTCCTTAATTAAAGAGAGACTAATTAATTAATTAATTAGTCTCTCCTCGTAGGTCATACTTCTCAGCTCGGGTACTAGTCTGGTGGCAAACCTTTGAACCTTTTATAGTTTAGTCTTATGCTTGACTAGATATGGACTCCATGCTGGTGCTGCATACTCCAGGAGTGGTCTGACATATGTGGTATACAAAGTTCTGAAAGATTCCTTACACAAGTTTCTAAAGGCCGTTCTTATGTTAGCCTACCTGGCATATGCTGCTGATGTTATCCTCTTGATATGAGCTTCAGGGGGCAGGTCTGGCGTGATATCAACCCCCAGGTCTTTCTCTCTCTCTGAGTCTTGAAATATTTCTGTGTGTGTGTGTGTGTGTGTGTGTGTGTGTGTGTGTGTGTGTGTGTGTGTGTACTCACCTAGTTGTACTCACCTAGTTGTGTTTGCGGGGGTTGAGCTCTGGCTCTTTGGTCCCGCCTCTCAACCGTCAATCAACAGGTGTACAGATTCCTGAGCCTATCGGGTTCTGTCATATCTACACTTGAAACTGTGTATGGAGTGAGCCTCCACCACATCACCCCCTAATGCATTCCATTTGTCAACCACTCTGACACTAAAAAAGTTCTTTCTAATATCTCTGTGGCTCATTTGGGCACTCAGTTTCCACCTGTGTCCCCTTGTGCGTGTTCCCCTTGTGTTAAATAGACTGTCTTTATCTACCCTATCAATCCCCTTCAGAATCTTGAATGTGGTGATCATGTCCCCCCTAACTCTTCTGTCTTCCAGCAAAGTGAGGTTTAATTCCCGTAGTCTCTCCTCGTAGCTCATACCTCTCAGCTCGGGTACTAGTCTGGTGGCAAACCTTTGAACCTTTTCCAGTTTAGTCTTATCCTTGACTAGATATGGACTCCATGCTGGGGCTGCATACTCCAGGATTGGCCTGACATATGTGGTATACAAAGTTCTGAATGATTCTTTACACAAGTTTCTGAATGCCGTTCGTATGTTGGCCAGCCTGGCATATGCCGCTGATGTTATCCGCTTGATATGTGCTGCAGGAGACAGGTCTGGCGTGATATCAACCCCCAAGTCTTTTTCCTTCTCTGACTCCTGAAGAATTTCCTCTCCCAGATGATACCTTGTATCTGGCCTCCTGCTCCCTACACCTATCTTCATTACATTACATTTGGTTGGGTTAAACTCTAACAACCATTTGTTCGACCATTCCTTCAGCTTGTCTAGGTCTTCTTGAAGCCTCAAACAGTCCTCTTCTGTTTTAATCCTTCTCATAATTTTAGCATCGTCCGCAAACATTGAGAGAAATGAATCGATACCCTCCGGGAGATCATTTACATATATCAGAAACAAGATAGGGCCGAGTACAGAGCCCTGTGGGACTCCACTGGTGACTTCACGCCAATCGGAGGTCTCACCCCTCACCGTAACTCTCTGCTTCCTATTGCTTAGATACTCCCTTATCCACTGGAGCACCTTACCAGCTACACCTGCCTGTCTCTCCAGCTTATGTACCAGCCTCTTATGCGGTACTGTGTCAAAGGCTTTCCGACAATCCAAGAAAATGCAGTCCGCCCAGCCCTCTCTTTCTTGCTTAATCTTTGTCACCTGATCGTAGAATTCTATCAAGCCTGTAAGGCAAGATTTACCCTCCCTGAATCCATGTTGGCGATTTGTCACGAAGTCCCTTCTCTCCAGATGTGTTACCAGGTTTTTTCTCACGATCTTCTCCATCACCTTGCATGGTATACAAGTCAAGGACACTGGCCTGTGTGTGTGTGTGTGTGTGTGTGTGTGTGTGTGTGTGAGTGTGTGTGTGTGTGTGTGTGTGTGTGTGTGTGTGTGTGTGTGTGTGTGTGTGTGTGTGTGTGAGTGTGTGTGTGTGTGGGGGGGGGGGGGTGCGCGCGCGCGCGTGTGTGTGTGTCTTTGCAGCCTAGCATGAGGGCAGATTGACTCATCGTGTATCTATACCAGTTTATTCCTACTTAGTCCCGGGTTCGTATCCTGGCCTGGGAGGATTGACTGGGCGCAATTCCTTAAGTGTAGCCTCTGTTTAACTAAACAGCAAAATAAGCACTTGGTTCTTAAACGATTTTTTGCGGGGGTCGAACCCAGGGAACATAGGATTAAGGACTTGCCCCAAACCCTACGCGTAGTGGTAGCTGTAAATGCATATAAGAACTCTTGTGTATATAAACCCTACGCGTAGTGGTGGCTGTAAATGCATATAAGAACTCTTGTGTATATAAACCCTACGCGTAGTGGTGGCTGTAAATGCATATAAGAACTCTTGTGTATATAAACCCTACGCGTAGTGGTGGCTGTAAATGAATATAAGAACTCTTGTCTATATAAACCCTACGCGTAGTGGTGGCTGTAAATGAATATAAGAACTCTTGTCTATATAAACCCTACGCGTAGTGGTGGCTGTAAATGCATATAAGAACTCTTGTCTATATAAACCCTACGCGTAGTGGTGGCTGTAAATGAATATAAGAACTCTTGTCTATATAAATAATTAAAA